TGACTCTGCTATGCTGAACACATTTAAGACTCAGCTGGACATGGTGCTGGGCTATCTCGTCTAGATTGTGCTAGAAAGGTTGGACCAGATGATCCTTGAGGTCCCTTCCAACCTGGTATTCTATGATTGATTCTACGATAAAGATGCCTTATGATTAGCCTGAATGTCACTTACTGTCCTTCAGCACATTCAAAAATTCCGCAAAATTTAAAACGCCAGCAACCAAAAAATCTCACCTAGAACTCAAGCCCAAAACCCACCCAAAAAAGGAAACTCAGGTTCTTAGAACAATGGTTAGTAACAGTCATGTCAAAAAGGAATGAGAAAACTTAGTAATACAGTTACTTCTTGACTATGCCCCTGCAAAGCATGAGAAGGGCCGAGGGCTTTAGGAAGATTAAGAATGCTTTAACCTAATCTTCCTCCTTCTGTTTTGAAAGTTGCAGCATTCCCAGCATAACTTGGGATAGGCTTTTGTCAAAGTCATGCCAGAGGCGCCTTTCTGGATATATAAGCTGAGGCGTACGCACCAGATGTTTCTGGTTCTTGGAGGAACCAAGTCATAGCATAGGACTGCTTGGAATCTCTGCTGTACTGCACACCATGGAGATGGCCCTGCATGCCCTTCCTATTCACATCCACTTTCCCTAGTTTTCTTGAAAGGGAATGTTACAGCTTATTCCATAGTTTCTGTACCACAGAAATCCTTTCTATAATTATTTCAAAGTAACCCAACAGTTTTATCTGTCCAGAGCTGGGAGAGAAATCCCAATCAGATTATCTCTGATTTTTACCGTATTTAGTGCAGACATACTCACCAGGCACTCCTGGGGGTCCAGGTAAACCATCTGGTCCTTGAGGTCCTGGCAACGCAGGTAATGGGGTTATCCTGCTGGTCTCTCCTTTCAGACCTTCAGCAAATACATAATCAAAGATCACAAAGGCTTATAGTTTGGCAATATGTAATCTTAAGCATTTAAAAATATTAGCGATCAATCTACTTGGTTCAAAATGCAGTCTTCTACAGTTTCCGTATTTCTGAAACTCCAACAGAATTTGAAAAGCCTTCAGATCCTGGCTTCATAAAGCAAAAGAATTTTGTGGACACCAAGCCCACCTGCAGCCTTCCTCTCAGCCCTCCTGCAGTCTACTGGAGACCCAGAAAAGGAAGGACAAATTGAGAAATGCTTAATCTGCAACTCCACTTCATAAAGATTTAATGGGTATTCTCTTTAAGAAACCTTGACTATACGTGCTGTCCAACTAATCTCATAGCTGACCCTGCTCTGAGCCGGAGTTGCACTAAAGACGTCATAGGGTCCCTTCCAACCTCAATTATCTTATGACCCTAAGACTTTTGCTATTATCTCCACTGGAGCCAAGTGGAAATCTCATCCCAGGAAAAACTTCCTATGTTTCATAAATTATGTCTTTGACTTCAACTTATCTCTGCAATTTCAATCAAGTGCTCTTTAACACAGGTAAAACATGGTAAAATAGGAAGTTACAAACCAGCTTCTCCAGGTAATCCAGGTGGACCAGGTCTTCCTTTAGAGCCTTTGAAACCTCTTATTCCTTGTGGTCCATATCCTGGCAGTCCAGGAAGCCCCATCTCTCCAGGAAGACCAAGACTGCCGGGCAATCCAGGTAGTCCTTTATCTCCTTTTGAACCAACCAATCCCTATTAATGATTACACATGTGTGTATACCAAGCATTACTTGCTTTCCACACCAGCTTTCATAACAAAATGCCCGATTCTCTGTCTGACTGTAATCTTGCATTACTTTAGCAACAGAGTAGCTCTGCTAATTTAAGAGGAATTTTTCCTCTGATTTACTTGTGATTAAAGGAGTATAAATTTTAATATCAATGGTTACAAACAGAGGGCTATTAAGAGTGAAATAGTAGAAATAAATAGAACAGCTTGATTTTTCAATCACTGTGGCATTACACTGTACACTTCTTTGATTTTTAAAACAGGTTTGGTAAAACAAAAACAAAAACAAACAAAAAAACCCCCAAACAAACCCTCAGCTCTGATTCTCCTTGAATACTGTCAAGTCAGGTTTAGAGAGTTATATCTGAATCACTTTCACAGTTTCTCAGCCAACACAACACAACAATAATTGTTACTTTTTGTTTCTGCTGAACAAAGAGCTCTGCCCTAACAATTCCAGTTTTATGGTCAGTCCTCCCAGCTTTTGTGGTTTCACTCAGCCCTGACTGAAGATTAACTCCTAAAGGCTGAACAGGAATTATTTGAATTATTATTTCCTTTTAAGCATTACAAGTAGTCAGGAAAACTGTCTTTTTTTTTAAATCTTATTCATTACAGGAATCCAAAATAATGCTCCAATATAAATATCCAAACTAACACCACAATAGACTGCCGAGGTTTTTCAGCAACATGTATCTACACTAGCCTCATCTCTCTGGTATTACATAAGAATATTTACTCTCATTCTTTCATAGATATTGGTTATGCATATTGGTTGCTATAGTTGAGCATAGTACCCCTAAATCAGATAGGGGATATTCAGTAAAAGTATCCGAACAGATAAAACAGACTGTTGTACAGGATAAAAATATAAACTTAGGTTTTCATGAATTCTATATTAATTGCAAACAGTGCATACCCACCTCTTCACCTTTAGAACCCTTGTACCCTTTAGAGCCAGGTCTTCCCGGAAATCCACTTGAACCTTTTCTTCCTTTGTCTCCCCTGGCCCCTGGGTCTCCTCGCTCACCTTTTGGCCCTTCTGGATACACATATCCTGGCTCACCTTTTGATCCTTTATGTCCTTGATCTCCTCTAAAACCTGGAGGTCCCTGGAACAAAGTAATCAGAAGAATTTCAGTGCTAGACATATGTCAACTGTTTTCAAGTTTTCTTTTTTTAAATTAAATACTTGAGGGTGGTTCTCTTTATTCTCATCTTTATTCACTGTAATGGCACACTTCAATGAACAGGGGTTTTTCTTGTTTTTGTTTTTTTCTTTTTCTCTGCCTTTACTCCTTCTGGCCCTGATTATCATTTCATTTATACTACTATAAGCCGGAATAATGCAGGATCATTTAATGGATCAGACTCTTAGCTACCTGGTTGTGCTCTGGTGGCACAAAAAGAAGGACAAGAAAGTACCTTAAAATCTAATTAAAGATTTCTCCTCCACGTGGGAATATCTCCCCAGGGACACTGTAACAGCCACAGTTGGCTCTGTTCGTAGTTAACTTCTTTCCCTTCTTTCCCCCTCAGGGTGCAAAGTGGGTACTCTATCCCAGCCAAAACCAGTACAAACTGAAAGTACACTGGGCTCTAGTAATCTTGGGCTTATGAACTCTTGGGAGCCTTCTGGAAAAACCTGTTAGCAGACTCTTTCATTCTGCATCTGTATGGCAACCACCACAATGAATACTTGTGCCTGACTTTTTTTATTGAACAGTGCCGACTATAATTTCCCACAAATAATTACTACTACAGGCACAAGTTAGAACAGCCAAGTGGTATGTCTGCAGCAGCAGGTGTCAGCCTTCCCTATCCATAATGTTTCCCAAGAGAGAATATCCTTTGCACCCCTGAAGAGGGTATTATGAGAATCAAGTTTCTCTGCACAGCTGGGGCTTTAGCAAGTCCTGAGTATGCTGGAAACAAGAGAAAGAAGTCTGATGATGATCACAGCACACAAAACTCTATATGCTTTACAGCCACTGCCATGATTATAAAATTATGTAGATGAATAGAAGTTAAACTGTAAACTACCCATACCAGGCAGAAGAAGCAGTCTAGCCATCATGAAATACAGCACAGGTTAATCATACAGGTATTTACTTGCCTCACTGCCTGGGCTGAACTTCTTGCTGCACTGAGCAAAACAGGCTCATATAAAGCTAGGTAAGCTCTGTCCACATTACAGTCTCTACCTAGGCCTCCTATGCAGACACATGCATTACTACAGAAAAAGAAAACTGTTGAGATTACCCAGTGTGATACTGCACGTAACACCAGCCATTCGGTTTCTCTGAAATAATTCTTGTGGGATCTGAAAAATAATCTGAAAAACCCAAGTCTTACTTGAGCTCCTGGAAACCCCCGTGCTCCTGGAGAACCTGGAGAACCTTTTGGACCTGTTGTTCCTTCTCTACCTGCAAAAGAAACAGCATATTTTGTAAGGAAAAATGAAAACAAGGACTTGGATTTTTGACAAGCTCTGGTAATCACACACAGCATTGAATGCTTCTGCTTGTTACACTGACTGCATCATCATAGACTGACCTGGCTTCAGGCTGCACCTAAGCCTATTAGCATTCTGACTTCACCTCTGAGGGCTTGTGCTATCAGTGGATGGAGCTGCATCAGGGTCTCACACCCATCACAACCTCAGGGCTAGTTCAAGGACTGCATGCTGCAGACATGCCCATACCCGATTCTCATGCTAAAAGCAAAATCATCGGCATTTCCTACTATGCTGTTAGAAACAACAAGATAATTTACCAGGCATGCCATCTTGGCCATGTGGCCCAGGAGAACCAGGAAGACCAGGTATTCCCGGAATATAGCTGCAATCAGTACACACGCAAGCTTCATCACCTAGAATGAAAATAATTCATTAGTTGTTTCACAGCAAGTCACTCCCAAGCTTAACTAGTGTATTACATAGTTTGTTATAGAGGATGGCTAAGACTTTTTGGCCGGAGAGCAGTAGGAACATGGCCTTAATTTTGTTGGAAGATCACTTCCAACACAGTACAAAATTACTTGTGGTCAGACAGTGAATCAGAACTGATTACATTTAATTGAAAATGCAGGAACATTCAGTTTAAATATCTTGATTTTTTCAAGTCTAGTTTTAGTAAACCATTTGGATATAGTCACTTTCCTAATAAGCCAAATTCTCTCAAAAGAAGAAAGGGACATAGGCTTCAAACTAACATGGCTCCATAACAACCTGGGTGACTTTAATGACTGGCAAGTGGCCCAGAGATTCAGCAGCTGCTGTGGTGATATTTGCAGAAGGAACCTTCTCTCAGAGAACAACTCTTCGTGTTGAACATAACAATGGGAGAATACAAAAACCCTAACAACGTGTAATACTTGTTTATCCCAGTGAAGATCTGCACCCTGGCTGCAGTGCTGTACAACTGGTATGCAGCACTAGCACATGCACTGCTCTTTCAGCTGCTGTTTACTGTAAGGGGAGGAAGATATCTTCCTATCCCTAATGAACTTAAATTTCTGAACTCATCAAATGGCTTAAGAGGTAAATTAAATTAAAATTTTCATGAGGATCCATGAAGATTACTGGATTGTACCATCTCCTTCTGAGTGATAGTTTTCTGAAACTGACCTTTCATGCCAGTATCTCCTGGAGGTCCTGGAGGTCCTGTACACCCTGGCTCTCCAGGAAGTCCTGGTAGGCCTGTTCTAAACGTTACTCCACCTGTTAATGAAATGAGTATGGCATCATTACATCAGCAGATCATTCAGACAATTCTCTATTTGCTAAGAGAGAAAAAAGTTGCAGGGATGAGCTGGAGGCAGCATTCTGATCCTTATGGGTCCCTTCCAACTTGAGATATTCTATGATTCATGTAAAAGAGAGAACTACCTGGACAAACCCAAACGACCTGTACCTGGAAGTACTTGAGGATAAATATGGTAATGCCAAAGTAAATCTCAGCACACTGTTGGATCCATCTATCTAGCGTATAAAAAGCACAGTCCCTTCTGGGGAAAGTACTTCCATTTTATTTGAATCAACAGAAACATAATTCTTTCTTTAACCAGGAATGGAACTGAAACTTTTCTTTTCATCCTAAATTATTAATGCTGCTCATGTACCTTTGACAGAGCTATTCTGGTGTATTTACTATTACTTTGGAAAAAGAGAACATGCATTGAGCTTTTCCTAAGGTAATATATTTGGGGGACACATGTATTTTTCAAAGAGAGAGAAAAGGGAAGCACTACATTGGTATTGGTTCAGAAAAACTTGTGTTGGTCACACCACGTATAAAAGAAACATGATGCTGTTGGTACTCCTAGTTAAAGAGGTATTCCTAGTTAATACATTTTCTAGAAGTTTTATGTTACTGCTTTATTTTCATGCTGCCAGAACTTCAAACCTGCTCTAAGGCCCACTAAGACCTCTGGAGGCATGCAAGTGGTTTCTCTAGCTTTCAGATTAACTCCTTCTGAATTTAGTTTTACAGATTTACTACAACTTTTGGAAGAATTAATTTTAAGAACAGATTTTCTCTCATTAGTCTTTCCTGGGTTTATGTAGCAGATTTTTACAGTCACAGTTATACAAAAAGGTGAGAAATCTTTATACTGGGAAGTCATTGTATCTTCTCCACAGAATCTCATTAGCAACGGAGCACAGACCTTTTTTTCATGAATATCCTAAAACAAAATTTCCAAAGAGAAATTCTATTCAACCATATTACTCAAAATATACTCTACAAGTACCGTATTTATATAATTTTATACATTAGATATTGAGATGACTCTGGATTTGTTCTTGGTCATTATACATACGGTACTGAAACATCACCTGGTTCTCCTGGAGGACCTGGTAATCCAACAGAACCAGGCCTGCCAGTAATACCAGGTAGTCCTGGAGGGCCTACAATACACAAGCCACTTTGTCCTTTCTCTCCTTTTGTTCCTTTTGGCCCAGGAAATCCTGGGGGACCTCTCAGACCAGGTCTTGACACACCTAACCAAAGAGGAAAAAATACAAAAATTAAGTTAAAGAAATAGAATTTCAAAGCAAAGTAAGTACTCAATAGGATGAGTGAGAGACAAACATACTGAGTTCATCCCACAAATCTTTTTTTATCTTGTAATATATTAAATAATCACAATGACAATGTAAAGACATTTAAAAATGATCTGTAACCTCTCTTTAAATACTTGGCCCACCAAAGCGTTTGGGTGACAATTTTTTACCACTCAGAGGTATGTTTAAAGTCATCTGAAGTGAATATTCCACAAAGCTAATTCAGTATAATGGGCAAGAACAATGTATTTTATTGTTGGTACTGGACCATTACACATACCTGGTCTACCAGCATCTCCGGGAGGACCCTGTGGCCCTGCAAAAGCAATGTATTTAGAACTTGAGTTAAACCAGTGTATACTCTGCAAAGTCACTACTCATTAATACTGACTGTAAACTTTGGGCTTCTGCATTTTAAGCTTATTTTATCTTTTAAGAATTTGGTTTTGCCTGAGTAGGCATCTACTACTTATGCAACTGTTGCATACTGACAATTCTCACTGAAATCTGGCAACATATGGATGTTTACAACAGGTAGGAATAGGATCCACTGCATTTATCTTAGGTGGAGACGCACTACATTACTTGAGAACAACTTACAGGCCTGCAAACTTCCTTCTTTTTTGCCACTATTATTTGCTCTAGTAAATATACCACCTCTTAACAATGCATTAATACCTTTGCAAGGCTCAACTTTCCTGTTGCCATCCCTTGGAAGTATGTAAGTAGATTTGTAACAACAAAGAGCATTCACTGAATGCAACACAATCACTTAGATACATAAATATTCATAAAACTAGAACATCAAAACACAGAAGGCAAGGACTTGCTGGATGAGCATGAAATATAGCCTACTAGATGCTGCCTCGGACTTCAGCCCACAAGTCCTTGTTATATTGTGAGACAGCCCAAATAATAAATCAGTACATTTTCATTTTACAGCATGGCCAAAATAAACAAAATTAAAACTTGCAGATTTTTATTATTTTGGAATGTTAGGCAATAAAAATGGCATAAGACAAACTATGAAATCTACAAAAAAAAAAAGAGAGAGAGAGAAAAAGGTGCATGACCTTTAACAAAAGAATTACAGCCCTGATGATTTGTCTATGGCATATACAAATAATGTGCTGATGCAATAGTCCACTAAGGCCATGAGACAGGATGTCAGTGAGCTTAGGTGCTCAATTCAATTACCTGTGCAAAGAAGTGTGCCAGCTTCATTATTTTTAAGAGGAAATACGGCCACAAAACAAAGTCTCAGGATACATTTCAATTCTGCAATTTCATGGGAATAATTTGGAAATACTCTTGTAAAGGCAGAAGCAGGTTGCTGGGTGCTCAGAAACATAGCCTGCAACAAGCCCTTTGAGTGGATAGCTCTTGCTAAAAGATTCTAGTTTTGATGTCGCACTCACCAGGCATGCCACGTTGACCTTTTGGTCCTGGAGGTCCGGGGGGTCCTTCATCTCCTTTTTCACCAACCACATAATCATAATACTCTGTCTTAAGAGAAAGATGGTAAGAAAAGAAAGAATAGTAAGAAGGAAGAGAAAAGCACAGGGTGTCATATTGAATATTTGGTTAGAACAATGTTATGATCTCATTTATAATTTCAATGTTGCGACAGCGTGAGACCTTTCTAATCACGTGGTAATTACAAGCAGCAAGAAACAAAATCGTAATTGTTATACACAGATAATGCCAAGAGACATGTACAAATAGATGGGACTGGGATTTCAGCCCAATTCCTCAACTCCCAGAGAACTCCTCTGCCTGCAGATGCAATTAGACAGACAAGGTATAAATTGGTATATTTGTCAATCACTAATATTACGAAAAAGAAAATATTCTTGAAAGAAACTTCTAGGAATCACTTAGTCTATTCTATTGGCTAAAAGCAGCATCAGCTATATCTAGACGACTCTTTTAAATAATCCTACATGAAAACAGACAAAAATCAACTATGTAATTTTTATAGTAATGACTTTTTAATGCACATGTGATTTAATAATTTATTGAAGTTTAATATTATGATGTCTCAAAGTTTCTACAAATGACAACACTGTAACTGGAACTGATTAGAGACTGGTTTAAAAATTAACTTCTTTGAATTTTTGTAACTGTTCTGTACAGTCCAATCTCCTGCCAAAATTGCTGGAACTGAGTGAGGTCTAACCAGGCCCTAATAGCGCATCCAGCTCTACATGAAGGAAGATACCACCTCTGTGAGACTCCCAGCAACATCAGTACTTTGAGAAAGCCATGCCTCAATTAGAGCATCACAGGACATCTGTTATTGCCTCATTCAGTTTGGCTTATTCTTATTCTAATGGTTTAGAAAAATGATATGATGAAGATAATTTACACTTACTCGACCACAAGCTCCAGGTGGACCAGTGTTTCCTTTCATCCCCTTTGTCAGAGGACAGAGATGGGTTTGTTTATTAAAAACAATATATGACATGACATTTGGTACCCACTGTTACTTCAGTATATTGCTCATAACGTTAAAGAACTTCTGCTCCTGACCAGTCCTTCACCACCCCCATCTCTGCTCCTTACACAACTATTCAGCCACATACACCGAAAACTACAGGAACACATCAGCCGGCATAGATGGACACCAGTTCAAACAAAAGACCTATTTCAGCTGATCCATCCCCTATTCCATGATATTATTACTTGTCATCTTTTAGGTAAAGTAAAATATATTGTATACACAGTGATAAATAAATTGGTATAATAACCCCAAAACATACCTCATCCTCATAAGCAACAACAAAACCATTAGACAATACCTTAGCTCCTTGCCTGCCAGCCAGTCCTGGTTTGCCCTGTTCACCCTTTTGTCCCTGCAGGTGACAGTACACAATTTTATGAGGATTAATCTTTTAGCACTGTTATCAGTAAGATCTAAAATGGAAAGCTTTAATCTTTCATGGCAATGACAAGGTGAATGTGACTTGCTCAGGGGAAGAAATCCCAGGGAAAGACTCAGTTTGGGGCACAGTTCCATGTCTGTGGGAAATATCACAGGTCCCTCATCCAAACCGGCCTTTATATCGGCATACTACCAATCCCAAGGTGGAGCTGCTCTGGATAGCACAAGTGTCGGAGGCTCTGGTTTGTTCTCCCTCTGCAAACTACTATTTCTGAAAGGGGAGAAACTGAACACAATGTGAGACTCTCACATTCAGCAACTCCCTCTCCCAGAACCTAGTCAGTTTGTGTGATGGTGCTGATCTCAAGAGGTGTCAGCAAGACCAGGAGGGAAAATAGTGCAGACTTCTGCTAAAGCTTTCTGCAAGCATATACATGCAAGGAAAAGGGACTTCTCAGAGGCTTATGCAGTTGAATGCACTGCTAGTTAGTAAAGTCGAAATGGGAACAGAGCAATGACATTTCTTTGTCATGACAGAAAGTTTTCTTTCTGGTAGCTGAGGCAGTAGAGCTTTGCAGTCTGTCATTCCACATTCTTTGTCAGACTGGAATGTGTTTAGACTGTCTGCAAAGGTTGTTTTGGCATGATGAAGATGATGTTTTGGTAAGATATATGTGAAACGGGCTGTTCTGACAGTAAGAATTTTGGTAAGATATTTGTAAGGTCACTATGACCCTAATGATGTCGTTAAAGTGGAAGTGAAGTAAATATAAAAGAACTGATATTTAACCAGTTGAATACAGTATTCCAAATACATTTTAACAACTTTAGCTTTTAAATTAGTACACAAACAAGATCATTTTGGTTATGAAATGGTATATTTTAAGAATTATATGATGACAAGATGATGGTTTTAATATCTATCAGGCATCTTGTTTCAGGCCAAGGCAGCTGTGACCTTGACAATATTTGTAAAAGAATATCTTTGATTCTAGTGATTAAGAATTATTCATTTTGGTTCTTGATTTATGCTGAAGTGAAGGTATAAGGTATAAGTCTTTCGCAAAAATTTCAGTGTGACTAACCAGAATTAAGCTCAGTAGAATTAATTTTGCATAACTTGGACCATGTCTCAAACTCATTAGATAGTCAGCAGCAAGCAACAGGTCTTTTTATTTTACACAGAAGTGACAACACCTATGAACTGAGCCTCTGCAATGGGAAAAAGCTGTGACAGGAAGATACAACCGTGATAAACAGATGACTATTACTTAGAAAACATTTAGAACGCTTCCTTCATTACCGGTAAGCCAGGTGGACCTGGGGCACCTTCTTTTCCAGGTTTACCCTACAAAGGAAAAACATAAATAACAGAAAATAAATTAAGAAGATCAAAGGAGGGGTCATTACATTCAAAGAGCATAACAACTAAATGCTGTGCATATAACTGTATATTAGGTCTTTATACATTTTGGAAAGCCATTAAGGTTATTTTTAAAATGATCGTTATTTCTAATTAAAACTAGTGTTCATAAAACTCTACAAAACAGGGAGTAAGATATTCCCTGGACGTTCCTCCTCCTGTGGAGGATTAGTTGAGGCAGACACTTCACCAGCACAAAGTGGCAAGCAAGTGCAGAAAGCTTGGTGCAAAATCTCGTCCTTGCAGAAGCAAGACAAATGACAAAACAATACAGCAGCTAACAGCCCTTCTAAAGGTGAGCATGGAAAGATAATGAAGGGAAGCTTTTCCCTTGCAGAACATGAGGTTAAGAGATGACTTGAAGAGAAATTATTTAATGAAAAAGAATAGGGAGTGCATTTCAAAGGTATTGGAAGTAGGACAGTAGATGCAAAAGTGAAAACAGAAGGAGGCAGCATGCGAGAGGTATCTGCTGTTTTCTATGGTGCACAGCACATTAGGCAGCTTTCTGCTGGGGTCCTGGCATCTAGTGTGGCAACAATACATGTGAAGTAATTCATAACAACAAAAAAAGACGACAAAGGGAAGGGAAAGAAGGGGCAAAAACGGGGAGATAAACAGAAGGAGATGAAACCATAATTCTGGATACCTTACTTGCCACCTTGAAGGCAGATATGAGGAAAACCTCGTTCATTAAAATCCACAGAAGGAAGGTAGTGATAAGATAAACGGGGCGTGGAAGATTATGGGCTCAGAACAGGGGAGAAAGTACATTTTAGAAATTTGTTTTGCACAGAATAGATCAATGAAACGTAAAATAATTTTGAAAAAGATGACCAGAACATGAATCATGATGAAAAAACAGCAAAAAATGGCAGAACTTAACCAAAGGTGACACTCCGGAAGAGAAGAAGGGGAGCTGGAATGATGTCACCACAGGCTCAAAACTCACTTGCACAAAACAATCATTTTTTCTAGAACATAAAATCCAGAGCCATTTGATATTTTGTGCTCACTGATGTAATTTCAATAGCAAGAGGAAAGATTTTGTTTTCATTTTAGAATAGCCAGTCAGTCAATGTCTTAACATTATTTATATTTCCTTAGCATTCTTCAAGGTCAATAGGCAGAAAAGCAAGGGTGCTCTACTACTTCCTCCACAAAGAAGGAAAGGAGAGGTGAATTAAGAAGAATTCTAAAAAAATACTGCATGACAGGACAGAGCTTTTGCAAACAGACGATATAATATGGAAGAAACACAGAAGATGGAGGAAGAATAACACACACTGGATAGCAAGAACTTTTAGTACTTTACACCAGTAACTCAAAGAGAAATTAAGATTTTCATAACATATAGGAATAATAAAAATAACAATCAAGTTGCTCTATAGCATCATCATCGTTATGACACCATACAGCTGAAGAAAAAGCATTTTACAGGTAGCACTGGTCTTGTCTTCCTACCTTTCCTTGTGGAAGAAAATTTATTGCAACCACAAGTAGTATGGGAAAAGTTTCAAAATACATATGTTTCGACTGAATTAAATATTTCATTTGAAAGTTATCTTTCTTAATATTGCTTCCAAAATGTACTTGGAATCAAAATGTTTTGTTCAGAAAATGACAGAACATTTTGATGTATTTGGATATTTTAGGGTTCTCCCCTAATTACATATTTGTAAACTGTTATAAATTCATACAGTTTAGTTAAGAAGAACCTGCATCTTTCATTGATTAGTTTTTATCTGAAAGTTTGAGAGCCATTTGAATGCAAAGTTGTACCTTTCTATTTAACTCTCTTCAAAATGTGGATATACTCAAGTAAATTATATTTTAATGTCTATGCTTTTTAAAATAAACATTTTTTTTTCTCATGCAGCCATAAAATTATGTAACATATTATCCTTTTAACAGAATAACTCTCTTAGGACAACTTTCTACATGTCTCCATATATTTGCTGGTTGATCATACTAATTTGTCTGTTGCCTTAAGTAAACCCAATGTTTTTAATTCTCTTCTACATATACACAGGCACTATAAAGCCAGTATGTGTTCAGAAGAGCACTTTTTTTTTTTAACTAAGTTTCAACAGTAGAACCTTTACAGCAAAACAAATAGAAGCGCATCCACCATCAACTGACCTTTATTTCATGTACTCATAGCATGTGAGCCTACAAGAAGAGTCATCTGACTTTCAGCTCTTGTCTGGTTTACTGGATGAAAGACTTTTTGAATCTAAGAAAATTTGCTCTGAGTAGCACTGAAACAAAAACTGGAGAGCAATACTAGTGCAAATGGCTTTTCAGGAAAGACTAACATATGTGTATTCAATTGTTTGCACGTACCTGTGCTCCGGGTTCTCCTCGGTCACCCTTTTCACTCTGAGAATCACCAACTGGCCCCTGTAACAAAACCACCCTCAAGGTACACATATTTTGAGACTAACATTTTCTAAATTAAATGTCTTCTATAATTTTGCTATCTTTAAAAAAAAGCATAAAAATAAAGTACAGTTAGAATGCTATTAATAGGTATTCTATTCTAGTCATTAGTTCTATTCTAGTCATTAAAGGATGGAATAAGTAGTTTAAATATTGGACTCTGAAGAGTAGCATTCACCAGGTGATGCTGCCTGAACTTCTGGATTTAGGGTATTTACTTCTGGTCACTTACTGTAAACCCCATTGGCCCTGGAAGTCCTCTTGATCCTTTTTCTCCTTTCTCTCCTTTCAAGTCCTATTACACAGAAAATAAAAAATTAATATATTCTCCAGGATTTTTATGTGCTTACCATAACACTCAAATTTTACAAATAGGAAATCCTTATGTTACCAGCAAGCTTCTTCAAGCAGAGATGGTTCCACTTAAATGACTAAAAGAAACAGAAACTTCATGTCAGCGCTCCTGCCTGAGTCTATGATGTTAGAAAAAGAAACTGGCTCTGCACATATTTCTGAACATAGCGAGTTCAAAAAGACCTATCTGTGATTGCATGCAAGGGGACTAGAGTAAATATCCCCAGAAATGGGAAAAAAGTGCAAGCAAAAACCAAATAAACCTTAGTTGCTTCACTGGTGCTACAGTTACATCCAATATATAAACGCAGTGGCTACCCATGTGATCCTTGCCTCTGGGTTCAAGATTCAATTACCTTACTGTGTAGTCCTATTATGTATTGGGCCACAGCCTAAGGTCATTGTAAAGCCAAAGTTTATGGACTGCCTAATTATTATCCGGTTAGACTCATGCCTCAAACTATTTATGTAATGAGTTTTGAGGGGTTTTTAAACCTTAATGCCCAATGTCTCTGAAAAATTGCCATTCCCCCATGATAAACTGCTACAGCTGTGACTGGGAAGTGCTCCAGGTGGTCCATATTTGATTTAAACAGGGAAGAACTGCCGTGCCTAAAAGTTGACCCTTGCTTGTGCAATCTTTCTCTTCCCTCCTCAATACAGTCTTGATGCAAAATTCACTTTTTGTTTTAGCACATAATGGAGAGGGAGTTTAGATAACTCCATAGATTAGATGCAAATTCAGTAAGGAAAACCAAGTCAAGAACAGGTTGAAGACTTGTTCTGTTAATATGTGAAGACTTAAAACTATTTATCGACTGCTGCTGTTTAAGTTCTATATAAGAACAAAATGCAAGAATTTTAATTCACAAAGCAATATTTAAAATGAAAGCAGAATCAGAGTATTTCCTTTCTCCTATACTTGTTGTTTTCCCAACACTTTCCGTGATTACTCATGTTCCAGTAAAAACAATGAGAAAATGAATTATGAAATGTACATGAACACGCTGTAAGCTTTTGTGAAGCTCTGGTAGCTGAGTGTCCTGATATTTTCAGTGACAAAGGCCCAGAGGTCAACACAGCTGTGGTTTTGATAGCCATTCAGAAAATCCATGTTGATTTGGTGAAGCTAAAAGTGATTTACATTTCATGTGGTCAGAGATCCACAGCAGGTGTGTCACTAATAAGCATTTAGCATTCCACTTGCATTGTGCAGATGTGCATGTGAATACACAGCCCTCAGCTGAGCTTGCTGTATTGACACGCTCTAAGAAGAGCTTAGTATCTAACTAAACAAGTCTGAAAAATGTTAAGATGGGTAAAAGTAAATGTTACTGAAACAATGAAGATGAAAATGTCCTCTCAAAGTAAAACCTAGTAAGATGGCTTATCTGAATGCGATGTTTAACAATTTTACTACCGTCATGTTGTCTGGTCCACTTAACGTCACAATAACAGTTCCTGGTGGTCCAGGGGGTCCAGTTAATCCAGTGTCACCCTTGAAAGAAAAAAAGAAAAACAGAGCAATTACAAGCAGTGTGTTTTTATTGTTTCAAATTACCATTGCTGTACTTTCGACATTGTGAAAATTCTTCTGTTGTTACACTTAGCCATTAACACAGTTAACATTTCTCTTTGCTTGCTATTTATCTTTCAATAAAAAGGCATATGGAAGACTTAAGACTACTATGACAACCTTCTCCTAGCTGAGAAATAAAAATGCATATGCTGATTTCTGTTAAAGTATTTAGAACTAGCTTAAATTTTTAATACTATTTGCTTAAAAGTTGTAAGAGCATTTTAACTCCAAATAAAAATATCAACTTGATTATAATTTTTCTCCCAATTTAAGTCAATCAATAAAATACATGAACTGTCTTTGATGACATCCTCAAAACTGCAGTCTGTGTATTACAGGGAGATGACTGTAACATAGTGGTGACAGATAAAATTAGCTTTCATGTATTCTTAACTGAAAACATTAATATCACAGCACACTTTTTCATTAAGTATCTTTTACAACAGGGAAAGTCCTAAATGTGATCTTCCTGTGGAGCTCAACAAAACAACATCCATAATTTTCAGTGATTTTAAGCCAGTGGAATGCCTTTGCATGCACTCGCAGCCTAACAGCAAAGAATGCATCACTCTTTCATAATGAAGCAAGATGCTCCATGGTCAACTGGGCTAATGCTAATGAATAATCAATTCTATTTACAGAAATTTTCCCAGGAAACTTCTAGCACATTCCCGGTAGTAATTACAAAGTTAAAACCAATCCTGCTATCCGATAGTGTTGTTTCAATTCACAGTTGAATCTGCGCGGGTCAGTTAGAATAACTGTGAGATGCCTCAAGTTCTTGAAAGGATCTCCTGTAAGGACGTTCAGACTGACTACACTGGTCCTCCAACTGCAGGCTGAGGTCCTGAGAGACAATATATGTATTCGTAGTCATTTCTAGCTTAACGTCAATTATATGGGATACAAAGTAAGAATATAGACGACAAGTCATCTGATTTTTATTCAAAATCTGGGAGGTTTTCTAGCATCATAAAGGCTGACACTGAAAAGATGTTGGCCATAAGAAGCTGCGAGTCTACAGATGCTATATATTTACCAATGTTTACATGCTTCGATAAGCATTTAGGAACACTGTGCAAATGATACATAAATGAATTTAATGCTATGTGTTAGTAAATGTTAACTACTGGCTCCTCTTAGGTTTCTACCCTTCTATCAGGAAGTTTATATCATTGGCTCTCATGTGAAAACAGTTTGTCCTTAGGTATTAATTGCTGTGTTTCCATTTTCCAATAAAAGACTTCCACATTCATACTGAAAATTTTTATTTCAGTGTACTTACTTCCCCAAACATTTCACCATGGTATATCAGAAAAAGCAGAAAACAGAAACAAAACTCAAAAAATGTTTTAAGCATTTTATACAATTACCTTTCTTCCTTTGGTTCCTATTACTTTCAGTCCCATAAGACCCTGTAAAAAAACCAAAGTCCCCAAATGTTATTTTTTTAATTTTAAAAACACCTACAAAATGAGTTAATTGATGTTACACATAATAGGAATTTTTCATTTTTATTACCAATCTGAGACTACCTTAGGTCCAGGAGGTCCTGCTTTCCCTGGCATGCCCTACAAAAACAGAAAAAAAAAATTGGTTAATCTAAAAAATTACAATCTTCAGCACCAGTATATCTGTTTTGAAGTACCCAATTTTCACGTGAGTTGTATCACTGTTTTTATTCTTTCTTCCACCTTTACAACTTCAATTTGTTGTGAGTGGATGACAGAATGTCTATACAGTTTAGTTGCAAACATATACATCTCTCTTACAGTTATACACGTTAGTGTTTAAAGTGAATTTATGGGTAATTATCTGAAAATTAAAATTTATGCCTACATGGACAAGGATGCTTGCTTCCTACATGGAAATTATCATGTATAAAAATAATCAAAAGAAACTGAAAAAAACATCAGATGTGTGCAGAAGGATATGTATTTCACATACATATGTCTCTAGACCTCAAACAAGTCTGGGAGAGTCAGGTACTTGTATTTGTGTAATTCCATAGGTTTCTGGGAAAATCAAAGGTTAAAGTAACAAGCGAGACATAAGTTCATACTCACTGAAGCTCCTGGAGGGCCTTGTGGTCCAAGTTCCCCAGGATATCCTTGAGCACCCTGGGCACCCTGCATATTAAAAAAGAAATAGGAATAAATCTCCTGGCAAGATTATGAGCAAACCACAACACTAAGGTCAATGAACTAAATAACAGAGGAGTAACACTGTCTCTGGATTTCCTTTTCATGTCTCAGGATAACACAGAAGTATAATTCCTCCTCACTGCTTCATTGGTTGGCATATGTTTTGAAACATGAGAAAACATATCTGCTCTAAAACTAAACTACTGGAGTGAGGATATATGTCCTGTTCAACTGTGGATGTTCTCATAATCCATATAGTCCTATTGCTAGCCCTAATAAGTCTTTAATCTTTTGAATATTCTATGCAATAAATTCTATACTTTAAAGCTTCATTTTCAAATAAATGGAAAATTTAAAAAAATTGATTTTCCTTTTAATTTAATGTTCTCCATTTATTGTAACAGTCAAAAGAAATGTCTGCTCTGCCTTCTCTTATTAATCTCAATTTTTTAAATATGGATCATACTGTCCTTTGTTAGTACAGCTCGTCTAATCTGTTCAATCTTACTTCATGCGGAATTTTTGCAGTTGGACTAGATGGTCATTGTAGGTCCCTTCCAACTGAACTATTCTATTCTATTCTATATGTAGGGGTAAACTCCTAAATCCATAACCAGTTTTTCTCCGTTTCTAAAGTATTGTTGTTTGTCTGCAACCTGACTTCTCTATCTCACTTTACTAACATGTAATGGACACTGTTGGTTCTGATGGCAAAATTAATGACTATTGTCTTGGTGTACTCTTTTGTAAAGTCAGAAGAAAGACTTTGAATTGTATTGTATTAATCAGATTACATAAAGTTGATAATTTTTTAAAAACACAGAATTATTTTCTGGTTTAGAAATTAGTGAGATAATTGTAAAGAATACTATATCTATATAAAATATATAATGCAATAAAATCATATATATTATAAATTCAATTTTAATATATGTACATACACATATTTTTTACATATATATTTTATGTAAAATATATATATATATATCTCTAACAGTCTGAATTAATTCTGAATCACCTGAAGTCCAGGCATTCCTGGTAATCCAGGATCACCTTTTGCACCAAACCCTTGGTTATATCCATCTGCAGGGCACCCCTGGACAATTAGATAAAAAGGAAGATAAAAAGTTATGCTGTAGAACTTTGTAGTGGAATAAATCTTCTAATACAGTTTGTAAGGAAATAAGCAACATCAGAATTGCATAATGATGGCAACTGTCCACTATGGATAGTTCTACCTTTAAAAAAGATTTTATTAAACAGAATATACGTTTTTCAAGCATTCCAGTTCTGTTTGGAGCAGTCTTCATTTCAGACATACCTACATTACTCACCCACAGTCCTGACCTTCAACTTTTTTTTGGTACTTTTTATCCCTTTAGAATACCCTCTAGTGCATCTGCAGATTTCCATATGAATTTATAAGATGTTTGGGGGAGGGACTTAGCTCTTTGTGTGCTTGAAAGAGTTAAATTCATTATACACAGTAACAGTAGTTAAAGGGGGAAAAAAAATTATATACTGTTTTGTAACCTGGGATGAATGCAACTAGTACAGGCGAAGCACCAAAGTTTGTGATTGCTTCTTCTGGAAAGTAGACGTTCTGTTTCCCATGAATGGAGATGTTAAGAACCCTTTTCCAGCACCAAACATACACACAAACTGTTGATCACCAGTAAGTATTTCATGTAATATGGTGTAAATAACTGACCTTCTCTCCTTTGATGCCAGTAATACCCTAGGGAGAAGAACAACCATATTATTAAAACAGAAAAGTACAAGAGGCAATGGTGAAAGGACACATTCTAAATATTCTATAAGCTCAGTGCTCTTGAAGTGATTTCTTTTCATGGACACAGTGTATAGCCTGGTACATGTTCATTGTGCCAGACTTCAATTTAAGAAGAAAGGTCATATTGTTAAAAAAAAGTCCAGTCTCACAGTTACAACACTACAAGTGAAGGCAGAACATTTTTGAAGCCTGACCTTAATAAATAAATAAACAAAACCCGGAGAGCTGGTAAAGTAAAATCATGTTTAGAAGTTATTAGATTTGAAGCCACTGGAACTTGACAGACAGCAATTCCTTTCCCATTTGTTGTTTAAAAGTTTATTTTAAAAACACATTTCTAAAGAGAAAAAACAAATCCTAGGGTTAAAGCAATGTGGTCATAATGAGAAGTTCTGGGTTTAATTCCTGGTTCTATTTGACTTAATTAGGCCATATTCTCAAAGATATTTTGGCATAAACTGAAACTGCAATCTACTAAATATATACTGGACACCTTTAGAGATGTGAGTGGTAAATATTCATGAGTATCCCTTGAGACACTAAAGAGCTAACACCAGTCAATGAATTTGCATGCACTCATTAACTAAGAAGTTGAGGCCTAACATGCAGCAGATAAAGCATTACTTTTAACTTTGGTTTCTTTACCATAGTTTTCATATTAATAAAATGGGGATACCTATATGTTTCAACTGTTGTCAATACCAGCTAACATAAGGCTTTACACTCCTTCAGTGAATGGCTTTATGTGGTAGAAATGCACACAGTCATGAATTTCACAGACACCTACTGGAATGCCTGGAGCACCTCTTCTACCTGGAGGACCTGGAAAACCTTGATCGCCCTGAAAGTAGTAAGAGTGACTGTTAATGCATATTATTGTTGATTATTTGGTCTGACTTTAGCAAATGTGATTACAAAAGAAGTTTTTTATGTTACCATACCAAAATTGTAGGTTGCATTACCACCACACGTGCTAGAAGGGGCACAGCCTGACTGCATGGGTCTTGACTTCTATTCCAGACACCAGGCTTTATTAGCTACGTCAGATCAGTTCGCTGTTTCACTAGAAATGTATGATTTTCTGTAGTAGGCATTCTTCTGACTCCCTCTTTCAGAATGCTGGAAGCATTTTCTCATAGAGCAAAGAAAAACTAGTAAACCTGTAACTTAACATTAAGCCTTTTCTTTTAATTGCTTTCAGAACTTACGCATTGTCAACTGCAAGCTAGATACTGGTGAAATAAAATTAATTAACTATGTATCTCTTCTATAACCCATTTCAACAGAAGGACAGGTTGGACAAAACTGACTAGGTCTTCTGGATTTAATGAAAAAAGTTTTATCTGTCAAAATATCAAACATTATTAACTGTTTAGCAAAGGCCATTAACATAATTATTTAATTATCTTTCTTACACAAAAAGGCAGCACTTTTCCTTTCTCTGGCCTCATGATTCAAATTTTTCCTAGTTGATAAAGTCACAAACCAAACCAAATCAAAGTTGTTGTATATCGGGGAAAAAATTCAGAATGCTTTTTGGCCATTCCTAAGCATAGCCAAACACACTCTCCATAACATTCATCTTGATTTGTACCTTTGTGCCGTTGCATCCTGGAACACCCGGGCGCCCAGGAGGACCAACAGTTCCCGGTTCACCCTAAAAAGAAGTGCAAAATTGACACAAGCTTTGTTTTTGCACATTCATATTACCCTACAGCAACACTGAAAGAGTTTATGTTGGAGCAGTGTTTCACAAGACTTGACAGATTACCATGTGTTCTTAAATCATTACAATGAGTAAGAATTGCTGATGCTAAGATTTTTATCTCTAGGCTAAATGACAGAGACAATGCTGATGTTGAGACTAGAGTGAGCACATTGGGCTGAGGATAATTGCGTACTGAAGACTATAGTAAGAGAGAAATGGTTAAATCAGTTTCATTTTTACTTACTGGAAGCCCTGGGGGACCTGAAAATCCAGGTATTCCTGGGACTCCCTAATGATATAAAAACAGACGAATAATATTACAAATATTAAGCAAAAGCTCATGATGCAGTTATTCTTTTGATTGCATTCAGAAGAAGAATGAATGCAAGTATGATTCTATAAAAAGATCATTATTTCCTTAATCGTTCTGACTGTGAACCAAGTATAACGGTAGCTTACGCACTGTTAACATAGACTGGTTTTGCCCAGAGAAAAAAACCCAAAACAACTCTTCATGGAATTCTAGTCTGACTTTTTCACAGCACACCCCAATACTAAATACATACAGCATGAACCTTGTACATAAGGTGTAGCAACAAAGGCAAAAGTTTTAAAAAAATAGATAATGCATGTGCATACTCCCTGTCATAAATTTTAAAAATACCTTAATATCATATATGTTTTGTTTCTATTTTTCACAAATTATTGAACCAAGCTAGCATTTAGCATGACATTTAATACATACAAGTTTGTTTAAAATATACTTACTCGTATACCTTTGGGTCCAACTAAGCCTGTAAGCCCTGGAGAACCCTAGATCACAAATGGAAAACAACTTATTTCAATGTAATTGAGAAAAAACACATATATGTCAACAGGACATGAATATTTGCATTATTTCACCAATACAAACATTTGCACATGAAACTATATAAATAAACAAATAAATGATTTGCCTATTACAGACACTAAAGCAAATAAGCATTCAACACAACTTGCATAAATCGTAGCATCTTGCCCTCCTTTTCAGTGTTTACAGGGGATATATCTCATCATAGGTCAAAAAAATAACAGTCAGGGTATGTTTAGAAAGCAGTTGCTATGGATCTGTTCAAACTGTGAGACCTGGAAGTGCTTCCCTGTGAGGAAATAGCTGGAAGGCTCCCAGATATGGGTGATGCCCATGTAATGATCAGGTATATGCATGTACTAGCCACTCCCACCTGCACTGCTGTGCATGGAAACGAAAGCCAGGAGCAGGCTGAAAGGGGGCTAAGCAGGATGGGAGAGCAAGGCTGAAAGAAAACAGCAAAGCATGCCACAGCACAGTCTAGACAGGACCTGCCAGAATTGTTTCAAGACACTTAGAGCTTTACTGATAATAAGAAACTTTTATCTTTCCCAGAAAGGAACTGGGGAATGTACAGAACTGCATAGCTCCTAAAATCCTGGGTGACATTTCGTTTAAGATAACGTACAGGTGTTGAATAGGAAAAGCTACCTGGAATACACCACAATAGATGGCATTTAGGCTAACAGAGACGTTTTTGCTAGATAAATTATCCTTACTTTTTGCCATTCTTGCAGAAATTATTATCATTCATTAAAAGGGAAATGCTCTACTAAACACTTTTCAATGAGTTCAGATAAATGGCTCATCAACATGTATGAGATCCACCATGATTATCAGTTCCACAAAATATTGTAAAAACAAGATAGGACACAATAATGCAACAATACTGAAACAAATTAAAACTATAAAAAACCATTTGTTTAAAGGTATGGATAAGTGCTGGAGCCATATTAGTGCAGGTCCTAGACATAATGTGATTGTGGCAGTACCTTCCCGATTTATATTGTGTCTGAGTTCACACCATATTTAGACACTAATAACTTATTCTTCAGAGTCAATTTATCGATGACAGCAGGAGTGCTGTTCCTCAAGACAAATATAAATAAAATGGTTTTTACTGAGTAATTTATTTGTGTTTTTCTGCTCATGCAGGAGTCACTGAAAATACGTATTAGGCCTCAGTTTAGGCATACAGAAAAGAAATAAAGCCCAAGTCACTGAAGTCACTCTCTCCATACTGCAGGCAACTAGGTATTTCTTAAACAGAGCAAGATTTATCTTAAAAACCATCCTTCCCTTCAAATTTTCTTAAATCTATTTTTCATATTTGTCTCAGTAGTAGCTTGTTTCCTCTCTTTCCAGCAATAGATGTCAGAGTATACTGTTAAGATGAAACTGAGGTTATGCTGCTAAAATCTCTTTAGACCCATGTTCATTGCCTCTGGCAGTTCAGTCCAGGTGCTTTAGCACTGGCCAATGGACAACTGACAACAAAAGCCCACGTTCATATCAGCCACTTCGAATAGTCAAAAATGACCATTGCAGCTGGTGACCACACAACATCCCTCACCAAACAGGAGACTCTGAAACAGGTTTTGTTTTGGTTTGGTTTTGTTTTTTTCAAACAGAATTCTCTACCCAGTCATAGCTCACTTTCACAGTCAAGCACAGCAGTTTCTCTGTGTCTGTCTGTCTCTCACATACATACCACCTACCTTTGGTCCCTGTGGCCCTGGAGGCCCTTCTGGACCAGGAAAGCCTCTATGACCAGGTGGACCTGGAGCACCAGGAAAGCCTTTTTCACCCTGTAGACATTAAGAGAATGAAGTTCTTAAAATATCCATGAATTCTCCGTTTGATAACTTATTTCTAAGGCATTCATTACTTTCAGTACCTCTTAACTTCCGCATATCTGTCTGCTACTGTGACAGATATATTGCCCTTGCCCATACTGACCTGGTTTTGTGGTCCCGCCCATGCGCTGTCTAGGCCACATGGTACCACTGAAGTAACATGTTCATAAGTATGGTTGGAGGTATCAGAAGACAACAGTACTTAAGATTTTGCAGAGTACAGAAGTTGAAGAGTTGAAGACTACAGGCAGCATGAAAAGTGTAAGAAAGCAGCTGATACATATTCCTTGTTAATAGTTCTATATCGTGTTTAGTCCCTACAAGCAACGCAAACCCAAATCCATCGCAGCAGCCCTAATTTGTAGTTGGCAAACTTAATGGCTGCTACTGTACAGCCAGGTCAGTTCCAAATCCCCAATACCTCTCTTCGTGCAAGTCATGGAAAGAAACAGTGGGAGTCAAATGCAGCAAAACCATTCAGACAGAATAAAAGAAGTTTGCTTTAAGCAACAACTCTTTAAAATTGTTCTGAGTCTCACAGACACCCAATTACTTTTTCATGTGTTTTTTAAGGTCAAGTTCAAATAACCAAACCATGTAAAGGAAACACAGAAGATAAAAGCTACACAAATAAAATACAGGAGACTAAGTTACAGTGGAAGGGGCATTTTCAGTTTTTTATTTAGATATAATGAAGATGCAAGTCTTATCTTGGTTAAAATAAAGTGCTTCAAGCCTAGAGACTCACAGAAAAGGTGTTTCAGCTCTTCAGATAACAGCAATTTAGCATGCTCAGTTTTACATCAGTGAAGAGCTGCCTCTTCAAGACCTTTTACATCAGAGCATGACATGGGAGAGAGAGGATGGGGTCATCGATTCTCTCAGAGTCAATTCTCCTATTGCTTTATCAGGGGAGCGTTATACAAAAAAGCATCTGAAATTCTGCTGTGCAGAAGTTCCGGTATCTTATTATTCAATGTACAAGATAGGATCCAAAAGAAGTCTCGAGGAAGCCAAAATACCTTGGCTTGTCCCTCCACCCATTCTTACCCCTCAAAATCCCACAAACTCACCAGATTTTAAATAGGTTCTGAATAAACAACAAAAAAAAAAAAGATAGAATACAATACTAGAATATTTTAACACAAACCAAAATAAGACTTGCATGATGAAGTTTCTGTGAGATCTGTATCATAAACCAGCATAGCTTTTTATAACAAATAACTTATTTCATCCACCAGCGTCCCAAGAAAGGCAAAGCCCGATAATGCTATACCAAGACGTGCCACTGGAGGGGGTGTGGTACTAACTCACAGAAAAACGAAGGAAGTCCTTGATCTTCCTCTACTGAGCTTGCTACCCCCTCACTGCAGCAAGCGATGCGGTGCTCTCGACACGGAGCAGCACTGCGCTCTCCTGACAGCTTCACTCCGCTCCATACACTACGTGCAACTTTATCCACACTTTCTTCTTGACAGATCAACAAGATCAGAGGATTCTCGGGTTGGAGAATTTCTTAACATTCAACAGTTACCAAAACATACTGATTAATGTAATCATCCTGACTTTCCAAAGCTGCCTGAACAACTTTATCAGTGTAAACAATGATTAACTCTTACCTACTAATTGCTCAGCTTCTTTAACATGGAACTTATGAAGACAAGTTGTGAGTGTTCATTCTTACTAATATTTCTCTTTTAGTGGGCAGCTTATTTTTTTCTAATTTTTCAATTGGTCTCAATTTTACTGGTTAGGACAAAGTCAGGTTAGACAAACTACAATCATGAAGATTTTACTAAAGACATGAGTATTCTCCTTTCCCACTTATGAAAATATGTTTTAATAATAAACATATTTACTTTGAGAGAACTTTTCTCCAGCGCTGAAGTGAAGCTTCCTAAAGGCAAGACTAGCAGTGTTTACTGTGGTGCAATATGACATTTTTTCTTGGTAATAAAAGTACAGGAGGAGAGTTGTGAGTAATTCTTTACCAGCCAGATGCATCGATCAGTGGGACTAATCACAACCCTAAGCCTATAGAGGCATCTGGAATCTATTGATAAGGTTTAGTATAGCAATCACTGTGTCCACAGTTAGCCTGAATTACAGCCATGACTTCTTTAATAATGCCCCTTTCATTTGTGAATCAGTTGTTTTTCCAACTACAAGCAGGATTTTGAAAGAATTTTTGGCATTTGTGTAATTCAGGTTTGTCTAAAAGCCACTCCAAGCCTCTGCCAAGCCACTATTGGCAACAGGCAGAGCTGCAGCTCGGTTACTTTTGATGGATTTGATGCTGTTCACTCACTGCTGGCAAGGTGTTTGTGCTTAGGACCCAGAAACTCATCCCTGGTGTCAGTCTGCAGGAGATTTAACTGTTTGATGCCAGTGCAAGTAGCTTTCCTTCAGGAACTGGAAAAGGGGGGGGAGATGGGCAAGGTCCAAAGATGGCAAGAGGGGAGCACTGAACACGACACTCTTGATGTCATTATGAAATTTGTAACAGGAGAGCTGCTGCCAGGGTAATGGTATCTGTGGGCATTTGTTAGGAGTTTGTAAAAGGGACCTAGTGCTTCTTCTGTTGGTGTTCAAACATCATGCAATGCTGTAAACAAACTAATGCATTTTTAAAAAAATTTAAAAGTTGTCTTAGTTAAACAGTGTTCCAGAGTTATTTTAACAGATTTTTTAAGGTAATGTATTTGTTTTACAATTCGCTGTAGACTCTGTTGACAGAATACCATTACACAACAAATTCACTCATTATATCAACTCAACTAATGTATTAACAATTTCCAGGTATAAGCTAATCTTACAAAATTATTCTTACCTTATTACCTTTCATGCTATCACAAAAGCAGGGACTTTTACCTTTGCATACACAGCTCTGAAAAACAAAAAGACAAACTTTACAATAAAATTATTTTTCTCATTGTGGTGTTTGGTAAGGGGCCAATGAGATCTTAGTGGTTTTAGTAAGGCAATTATTTCACATATAATAAAACTTAAAAAAAAAAGTTCATGAAGAGTGGGAATTCTCAACAGCGGAAAAGAGCTCATTATTCCTCTGTACTGTCTTTTGAGACAGATAAGGGCACTAGTTTAATTTTACAGTTGGGGTAAAGGCCAAGAAGCCGTGCTTAACACCATAGGGTTATAATATCAGTATGAAGTGTAAAATTCAAGAGTTTGGGCTCACAGCACTAAACATTGATGATCCTTTAAAAAAAAAATCTAACTATAGAAACAAACACATATACTGATATTGTTTTAGATTACAATTATATTATTTTTATTTTAATCTATTATCCAATAGATTTCTGACTTTTTATAGCTGTGTTCACCTCCTGACCCTGGCTCATGGTACCCAATACAATTACAAAGGACCCTCAGCTTTGTTGTTTCTTAATTCTGGAGGTTTCCTGAGCCAAGCTGTGTGACAATGAGTGCCCTCACACAGGGATGTCCCCACTCCTGCAGCGAGTCTTGGGTTGTAGCTGCTACCATCATGTCCGTGTCTTCAGGTGAGCCTGGAGTTCAAAGCCCTCCCTGGGGGGCTGAGTGTTGAGTCTGTGACCTCTACTGCCGGAGTATGGCATGGCTATCTGGGAGCAACTACAATTTGGGACAATTCAAGGATTAATCAAGTATGAAGAGATATTCAGGTTTTTATTGTTCACACTTAAGTGAAACAAACAAACAAACAACCCACCCAAACAAGGATATTCAGTATGTAACTGGATAGACAGCATGACTAAATTAGCTAGCTCATGTACTAGGTAGTCCTAGTAGCAGGGAGCTCAGCAGAGCTGCAATGCATACCTGAGATCCTGGGTGAATATGACAACACTTAACTCTTCTGTGCCCTGTTCCTGCTACAGCTATCATGTACTCAGTACCTGAGCTAGCCCAGTCTGGCTGGGATAACTCTGCAAAGGACTTTTCTACACTCATGTAGACATACCTTATTTCAGCTGAGTGGAGGAGAAAAAAAAAATCCTTTGTTAACATAAATGTTACACATACTAAAATATCACTGAGGTTATTGAAGCCATCACTGCTTACAGTATTCCAAATTCTCTGAATTTCTTCAGTGTACCTGGGAGCACACCCTGGCTGACCATAGAGAGCCTTCCTGAGAAACAGCCACAGCTACCTTCTAATCTTCCTAGTACCAGTTATTTACCGTTATAATTCTATAGACCTTCATGGACTTGCACCTTATTTCTACCTGTGAAAGTAAAGCTAGAAGCAGATTCTTTACAGTATTTGTATGCAAAGCACAGTTTTCAGGACATGTAGATAAATCACCAAATGAAATGACTCTTCTATAATAGGTATAATCTGCAGAAGACTTGGTATACACAGAAGAAACTTTTTCTTTTAACTTACAATCACAGATAATTCAATGTGAAGTTAAATGCATGAACATGTAGAAACTTAGGATGCTACATAACTAAACAAGGTTATTAAACTATGTAAAGAAAAAGCCTTTGCTCTTCAAGAAGTCAGAATGCTTAGAATGTGTTTAATTTGCCATTAGTAAGCTTTCAGATCAATTTAGGTCTTTTTGTGTAAGCATATCACTTTAAACTAAACTGAAAAGACCAAAGATGATTTTACATTACACAGTCAGTTAGCTGGATAATACTAAATGTTTTGGCATATGATTTTTACATAAGATTAGATTCTGCCTTCTGTAAAGGAGCTTTGAACCAAACAATCATTGCTCACACTACTGGATGTTTCCACATCTTTGCAAGATGCCTGCAGCTCCTTTGTCAAAGGACCATAATGAAACAATAGTATCTTGCCAGGTTATAAGATAAGGAAATGGAATATTAGTTATTAATGGTTTATTCAAAATCCTCACAATAACATCTACATAAGTAAATGCACTACCAAAGCCACAGGTCTACTGCATGTTTTTCAGTTTTGTGATTTTTTAATAATAACCTACACTTATTTCAAATATTTAGATATGGTAGATGGCACTAGATTTTTGATCTAAAAATTCAGATCATTACATGAATAATGAACCAAATTAATTCACCAATGAACCAAAATTTAAATAAAACCCAACACTTTCTTGGAGTAATCTATAGAGGAGTTCCCTTCAAAAGTGTTTTAAGTGATAGTAGTAGTATTCTATTTTCTTTAAATAATTGCAGTTGTACACACTGAAGCACATTTTCTGCAGTGGTTAATGTTTTGTTCAGTGGGTGCAACCTTACCTATAACACCAAATTGCCCTTCCTACACTATGGGATTGGATTCTATGGGGCTCTGACTTCTTCTTGCCCCCAATTCAGAGACTAACTTAAGCATCTGTTTAAAAAGTGTTCCAGTCCTCCCCTTCATTGAATCCTTCAAAGAAATGACTAAGAATGAAGAAATAACATACTACAGACTACATTGTCACCTATACAAAGCTTAATGCAGATTCAGCATGGCACTGCTACTCCTACCATTGCAGTCGTGGCAACTTAATTTGGAGTTATCAGAGAGAATCTCACATCACTCACAGCACTTTGCCAATAGAGCTAGTTCTATGAAGGATGTCAGAGAACGTATTTAGGGATGTTATCAAACCTGAATATGTCAAAGGATGTCACAAAGTGTTAATGTAAGGAAAAAAGCAAACTATGATAGGCATTTCTATCAACAGCACAGGCTTTGAGTCCTGTCACTCACATTTGTGGGGAAATACAGTCATACCGGGAATGATTTAAAGGCAGGAAGATGGGGAACAGACAAAATGAGCCAGTGAGGGTGATGAGCCAATATTTCTCCATCAATCTCCTTTTGGAATGACATGTATGATGACATAACAGTCAGAGTATTTGTTTGCTTTTCCAGCTCCAGAAAAGATCAGAGTAGGTCAGTTATGATTTCAAAATACGTATTTGTCGTAAAAATACTGCACCCAGGACAGAGAGGCAGCAAAGTGTGCTGCTGTAGGCAACAGGCATAGTATTCTTTAAGTATGTTTCAGATGAAAACTACATCAAGACCACACAGGATGAGTAATAAAGGCATTCAGATGAAAGCTGAGATGAAATTAAATGTATTCTGTAGGAACATAGTAATCTGGCTGTCATGGGGCTTACGTTTACACTTTTGGCCTGATTGGTCTGTAATTTCATGGGTGAACTCCACTGATTCCAGACGTAAATCCTGGTTAATGTAAATGAAAGATGACTGTGCAACACGAGGAATTTTAAGATGAATTAAAAGCAATGCAAATGATATCCATTAATTACTCTGGACAGTAAAAATAGCCCAGGTGTCTCTCAAGTGGGTGGTGAAGCTGTCATGTTCCTTCATTGGTGGTTCTAATGGCTGATCAGCCTCATTTTTAAAAATGCAAGCCTGATTTTTCATTTAAGCTTGATTTTTATCAGCATCTCACCTATCCTGCCATTAGGTCTTTATCTTCTAACTTCAAGGATCACTAAATTAGAACTCCATCAAAACGTGGAGCAAAACTTATTGGACAAGATCTATTTTTCTGTCATGCTGCTTTTTTTTTTTTCTTTTCCATCTTTCTGCTCATTAATGGTATCCTAAGCGGCCTACAAATATGCAGGTCATCACAGTGGTCCTTTCTAAGTGGAAGTAAATGATCAGCTAATTTCCAGTTTTCTGTAATTTCTCTTAAATTCCAACACTTATTAAAAATTACGTCTCAGTGAGCCAGCTCCTTTAAGAGTCTTGACTATGAATTTTCTGTCTCAGTGCAGAGCAATCACTTTACACATTCCAGCTGCGTCTATAAACCACAACTGAGCACACAGAATAATATTGCTCAAATAGTTGATGTTAATATAGTGCTTAAAACTACAAAGCACCCATTTCTCTAATGTTCTCTACTACCTGTTTTCTATTACATATAATAAAAGTGAGTGTAAAGCATTATGATTACAGCAAGTGGAAAGTTTTGCTTTAACATTTATCTACACTACAGACTTGTGTTGGGGTAGGTATGCTGCACAGAGATGTGAAACGCTACACTTCCTGAAGGACACTATGGTGCTAGCTAAAGCTTCTAGTTTGGACACAGTTATGTTTTTGAAACTTTATCCTAACCTGCTCAAGCAGAGGATCTGAGAGCAGAGCTGTATAGAAAAAAGTTCCCACTGTGGAAAAGGCTATATATGAAAAAAATCTTTTTTTCTGACTCTGATGCACCTGTGTTAGGATACTTAGCTAGACTAGCACAGTCAGTAATTCTATCTAGACGTGGTTAGTAGATACGTGATCCTGGCAGCATATTCCTCATGTTACACAACTGTAAATCACCATGTAGCGTACAAGGTACTGGAGAATAAAGTCCCCTCGCTCCAAAACATTGCTATCAAAACGAAATACCAGTCTCACAATTACAATCTGTATACTAAAAGTTTTTCATGCATTCTAAGCATCAAACATTAATTCATTAAAATTATCAAAGACCATGAAGAACTTTGTGGTTTTTTAGTGATTGCTGGACCAGTACAACAAAACCAAATTATTAAGCCTTCAATAAGTATAGACAACATAGAACAGAAATAGGAGATGATGAGATGAAGGAAAATATGTCAGTTCCCAAACCCTGAAACATTGTGTAGTCACTTGTGAACTGGAAGGCAGCCAGACATTCCTACCTTAGAAGACTCCTGTTAACAGCCATGTATGCTACCAGAATTCACTGCATTTTGCCTACCAGTTGAATACCCAGCACCTGACAAAAATTATTTCATTTTGACTTTCCATTATAAAGAAATACACCTGCAACTTTAACTAACAAACAACTTGGTCAATAACATCTAACGTAGGGAGACCGATCTCAAAGGACACAGTGGAAGACAACTGTTATGCTACAGACAGTGCAGTTGTTGAATAAGCTCCATTGAATACTTGTAATGGGAACCCTGCTTAGGGAGTAACTAGTGAATCAATATGCCTCTTTGGTGACATAGGCCTTGTATTACTGGTTATGTGCTGCTTTCAGTGTGAGGTGCAGAAGAGAAGTCCTAAGCATTTGTGATCATAGGAAAAAACCTTCATGACACTTCACAGAAGCAGGATTTTGTGCGTAACTTAGAGATACACATTTTGTGATCACACAATGCGAACACACAACATGTGTCTATCTGAACTTGATAAGAATTTCCTTACTTTCTATCCTTAGACTGTCAGGAGTTCTTTTGGAGGGGATTTGTTTTTATGTAATACAAAGATATATTTATACTAGTATTTGCAAACCAGCTATGGTAAATTACTGGTATGGGGAAATGGAAGAAGCTGCTGTAGATGAACACTTAAACAACTTTCTATTATGTCAAGGGAACATGTATATGAAAACCCTTTTTCACTTCAGAGATTGAAACCTTTTTGAAAACCTTCTTTTAGTTTTTAAAGCAAAAACTTGCTCGGCAAGAACTTCGTATAATAATAATTTTGTGATGTTAGCCAAATGTCTTCATTATAACTATTCATATTTATCATAATAAAAAAAGAGTAACATAAACCTTCAGTAAAACAGTATAAAACAGATGGAAACAAAATTTTCATTGAACTTTTGGTATCTCTCACCTATGTTTAAATGGAATAAATTATGTCCTTGGGGGGGGGGACGGACGACCACACCAAGCACCAAAAAAGAAAAGAAAACAAAAACCGTAAAACACCTTGCAATTCTTTTTTTGTAATATACTTATTGTATAGCATATCTTTTTTTGCTGTGAACGAGCCTGTCTGTATGGAAGTTCCAAGAAACAACCATAACATAGCTGTTCATACTGTTCTTACAAAAGCACACCATTCTGCCATCTTGTTCACAGTTCCACATACAACTTCCATGGAGCCAACCATATTCTTGTCCAAGCAGATACAGTACAATTAATTATATGGAGCTTCTCCTTTCTCTCCAACTCACTGACAGTAAATAATTAGGGAGTACAAGAACGGTA